ATTTTTGTGGTAATAAATTCAGGATGCATGATGGTTTTTACTTTGGAATGGATATCCTGGCATACTCCTGAACATTAGACTCTAAAAATGTCACTGAAGTTTTCTTCATTGGACTCCTAAAATCTTCACTGAAAATTCAAGCAGGGTCCTGAATCTTTGTAGGGTTTATCGCCAACTCTCAGGAGCACACATGTAATACCAAGACCTCCAGTGTACTAGCCAGCTCTTGCTTGACCTGCCTGACCAGCATAAGGTTGCCTGACCATACTAAGGTAATGGATCATTGTCACGTTCCATGGGATGACCAAGCAGTCCAGATCTCTTTGGACTATATTATGATGAATGGCAGAGGAGTTAACATAACACTGAGGCAAAACTCTAAATGAATGTTGTCTGCACCACATGAATGCAACTGTTTCTGGCTTTTTCTGATTGAGATGGAAAAGAACGCATTTGCCACATCAATGGCTACATATCACATTCTTGCTCTACCAATGTTATTCTTCTAGCATAGCAGCTACAAACAAGGCTACTACTTGGTTAAGTCTAGGACAGTCTACAATCATTCTCAAGGATCCATTCAATTTCCTCAGGGACAAGACTGGCAAATTAACAGAGAGATGATAGGAACCACCATCTTTGTATCTTTCAGGTGTTTAATGGTGGCACTATCTCTGCCAGTCTCCCTCATCCCACAAAATGTGATCTTGTTTTTCAACTAATATCTTGGCTGAGAGAGTGGTGGAAGTTTCAGACATTTCCACTTGTCCTTCTCCACTATGATAATTCTTACCCCATAGGACAAGTATCCAAAGCAGGAGTTACTCCAACTACCAGGTGAATCAAGTACATACCTGGGGACTGGGGAAATAACCATTGGGTAGTTTGTAGACCTAGTGAGCCCATTGTGAGCCAGATTTTAAGCAGGATTCCATTCATTACCAGGTCCCAAGAAGCTTCCACTCTAACAGGAGCGCCATGAAAATGCTTTGGGGCTCCAAGTATCAATGTCAACTCGGAACTTGTGTCCACTAATCCTGGGTGTTCCTTTCCCCACATATCCCAACAAAGTGTCCACAAGTCTATGAATTCTTGATTATCTATAGTCCTATATTTCATCCCCTTTGATTAAGCACCCTTAAAATCTAATCCCTGGGCTATGCTACTTGCTCACAACAGTACCTGCATGGCTCTTTGTGTGTATATTCTCTTCCCTCACTTACCTGGCCCAGCACTTTTCCAGTTGGCTTATACTAGAATTTAACCTTAGTTATGGCCTAGTAGCTGGGAGAGGAAGTGAGGGCAGCTGCCAAGGAGAACACCTGTTGCCTTGAAGGGAGGAGCTTCTGCAGCCCCTTCCATCACAGGTGAAGAGTGGGCCAACTGTGCAAACTCCAAGTGTTCAGGAGAATCTGCAGAGCCAACATCTTCAGGGAAATCCATCCAGATATTGCCATCACACATCCCAGGGTCTCAGATTGGCCCAGTATGGGCTCTGACCTTGGCATAGCAGACCTGCCTCGCTGACCATTTCTACATTTCTGGAGCTCTGAAACTTCATCTATTAGATCTTCTGTTTGCCACTTGGCTAGACCTGTTCTCCACTGCAACAGATAAGGGCTTTTTTATAAACTACCAGAGAGATCCTGGTACATACAGAATAAGACATACTTATTTTGTAACTGCTTATTAATGGACATCAGTTTCTTATTATCCCCTCTGTAGGGTGCTGGAATACAACTTGGCAGTAACTGGCCAACTAAACTGTATTTGAAGGTGTTACTCACACCATATCTTTCAAACGCCTGGATTATCACACCTGTAAGGGCATTCCTCTTCACTGGGAAGTTTTTCCAAGTCACCTTAGGTGAGATCTTTAAGAATAGAACCACCACCATGTGCCAGGGACTATCTATACCATACATACTACTCAGGAAGGTGTCTCATTGCCAGATGGATGGTGAATAAGCCATCCCAGTGCCCATCTTACTACCTACTTTATCAGACCACTCCTGATATCACTTGTGTTAGTTTGAGTCCTCTCAGAAGCAGACACCAAGGTGGAATTGATGTGCAACGTATTTACTGGGGAAATGCCTGTGAGGGAAAGCTGAGAGGAGGCCAGGGGAGCCTGGCAGAGCCATCCTACCACGATGGAACACGAATCTCTGTAGGGGAGGGAGGGACGGAAAGAGGTTGGGGGGGGAAAGTCTTAGACTCTGTCTCTGCGGTAGTTCTAAGTAAGTTTCTGCAAGGCAACTGGGGAGTCTTTGGGGCTGTCTCACAGAACTGGGCCTGCCTTAATATCCCTGCCACACTCAATCATTGGCTGGGAGCAACTAGTTGGGAAGTAGGGCCTCATATAAATGTAGTAGTGGATTCACAATGCGGCACAGGCAGGCCATCAGTCAGCCATGCCCCCGGTGCAGCAAACCTGAGTCTATCTGCACAGCCAGCATAAATGTATAGTCTCTGACTTAGGAACTTGGGCTGCTACTCTAGGAGCACACCACTGCCCAGCCAAGCACTCTCCCTATAACAAAATGAGGCACTCGTGCCGCTTCCACCTCCATTTACAGAGTTTTCAGCCTTCCTATTCCCACAGGCCTGGATCCCAAACTCAAAACTAGTCTCATTGGGGCCAGACTGGTGGTGTAGTGGTTAAGTTCGCATGCTCCACTTCAATGGCCTGGGGTTTGTGGGTTTGGATCCTGGGCTCGGACCCAGAACCACTCGTCAGGCCACACTGTGGCAGCATCCCACATTAAAAAAAAAGAGGAAGATTGGCAACAGATGTTAGCTCAGGGCAATCCTCCTCACCAAAAGACAAAACAAAACCCATCTCTCACCATTTCATGATAATCTGACTCCCAGAGACTCCTAGGTTACCTAAGACTTTTCCTTTCCTCTCTCAGACCAAAGGCGGTTTATTTTTGCCCAGTAGTCTAGTATTTGCAGCTCCAGTTTTGGGTGCCAGAGTGGGTGTTTGATGCTCGGCTGTGCAGGGCGGAGATGGAAGAGATCTTCCAGTGGTGCAAGTTAAGGATTTGGGCGAGTACAGAACAGAGGACAAATATGGCAATGCTTCAAAATTTTACAATACTTCAAATTTTAACCTTTCTTCAGTTTACACTGGATGTGAAAATATCCTAGGTTTTAGTTAGTTCCTTTGCTAAAAGATCCCATTGGTTTTTCCTCATAATTGCAAAGTTCACCTGAAACCTGTCAGAGACCTGGAGTAAATGGCTGAACGACATTTTGAAGCATTGCCATATTTGTCCTCTGTTCTGCACTCACCCTAATCCTTAATCTGCACCACTAGAAGATCTCTTCCATCTCCGCCCTGCACAGCTAAGCATCAAACACCCACTCTGGCACCCAAAACAGGAGCTGCAAATACTAGACTACTGGGCTAAAATAAACCGCCTTTGGTCTAAGAGAGGAAAGGAAGAGTCAGGTACATATCTGGCGAGTGAGTATTCCCACTCATGGAGACCAGATAAACGACAGTCCGGGCTGGAGATAAAAAGAAGGCAGGATCTCATAGTTGTCTGAGTCATTTAATGTGGGGGTCATTAGCCACTTCTGGAATTAAAGAACCAAAAATAAATCACAGTACCATAGCTGGTATTCAGTGATGTGTCAGCAAAGTCATATTATATTTACTATATTCTATTTAACAAAACAGAGATTTAATACATTTGCACCAGAAATTATTAAATAACAATTAAAAATTTTAGAGCAAATATCTAGAATACTCATTTCAGTAGGAGTCTTCATTACTCCGTGGTTCTTGAACAGTGAGACAGACTAAGTTTGTATCTAGAATTAGACTCATATTTTAAATCTAATAAATATTGACATATGTGTTAAATTAAAATACTACTTTGCTATGTCAAGCCATATGTCATAAAAATATCAACCTACATTGAAGTGAACCTAAAATCCTCATTCACATTCACCACAAAACTTTATGCAGCGTAAATTACCTTTTAAACAAGTAAATGTCTCAATTTATACAGATTTAAGTGGTATAAGCTAAAATTCAAATTTAGTTTTGGTTCAATTTCTTGAACCCAAGAATTCAGCAGCCTGAAAATTTACCCAACACGCTCCAAAAAGATTGCATGACCCTCCATGCCAGGGGACCTTTGGACACTGACTGCACGGCAGGCAAGGCCTAAGCCGTTTGCCCAGGTAATGTGTCCTTCAACTGGAAACAGGTAGATTTGGTAAAAAGTCACTAGAAGAACATGTTACCACAAATCCTAGGCTGTTCTAGTCTCCTGAAGTAATTAACTTATAACTAGAGAAAGAAACAAAATTATGAATTATTTTATAGTGCATACATTTTATACTCTTTCATGAGAATTTTGTAATATTGCCACTTTGTATTGCCATTGTAAGAGAAATGAGGAAGCCCATCCTCTCAATGCCCCAAAAAGAATGGAAGTCATCACTATTATGATCCGGGACAGAAAAGAGAAGGCCTGCCCCGTGAAGGGGAAGAAGTAAGAAGCGTACATAGACCTTATCAGTGGCACACCTCTTTTTACGTTTCTTTCCTGAGGTTTCAGTTCCATCTAAGCTTTGGATATAATTTAGGGAGACAGACTGTATCGCAAAAAGCAGGAAAAGTGGTGTAAGTAACAGCTGATTATTACTCAATATTGAATCGAAAATTATGGAATTCACTGGAAAACACTTCTAAATTATTTACAGAGTTCTAAACTTCTCATTCATTGAATTAAAAATAATGTATCTATTAATTAGGAGACTGGAAAGGAGAAGAATGTCTCCTCTGATCTTTGCCCCAAAATTTTGCTAAAATACTCCATATTATAATATAGAATTTGCATAAATTTACTAACTTTCCTTAGGATGAAAAGACGGCTCAAATAACCATTCGTTCTAACATCCCAAATAATTGTTGCTATGTAAATTGTAGGCTTTTATCATGAAATAATTGAGAAATTTAGAAAAAGTGAGGAAGCCAAAAATAATTTAAATAAATCCAAGTTTAATTTAAAAGTCACATTAAATGAAGAGATGAATAAAGCAGCAGTTGCAGACTCATTAATAAAAGGAAAAAGTTGGCAATTTAAATGCATGCAATTGTATTGATATGCTAATTTAAATTTTATGTATAAGGGTAATTTAAAAGAATATGGAATATGTATTAATTCTTAAAATAATGCTTGTATGCATATGATAATATTTAACTAAAATTTTTATTAACTTGCAAAGAAATACTATTAATTTATAAAGAAAGTAGTTTTTCTATTCAACTATTAAAGTTCCAATTCCAACAAAACACACCAAAATGAACAAATAATTATGATTCAATTTAAAGTTCCATCTTTAAACTCTTCATAATCTTCTTTGGTAAACAGATCCAAAGATGGGTTGATCCTAAATAAAAGACGACAAAATTGAATCTTGTTAATGTAAAATGTCATAATCAGCAGTCACTGAAAAATCTTAACGTTTCTAAGACTGCAAAGTAACAGCTACTCTCTATATTTACTGTTTTGATAACTTTCACTTTCTCTAGTTGACCATAAAAAGTTTCCGATGGACTCAATGTGTAACTCATATTTTTCTTCTCCACTCCAACTCCTGCCAATACCCTTGGTGACTTCAACAGCCCCGTTTACAGCAACTACGTCACAGAAGCACAATATCCCAGGCCTTTCCAAGCCACCTGAGCTGCTCACAAGTAAGGTCATTGCTTGGAGGCTGTCATCACTTCGAGCTTCTGCTTTACTTCTAGGTGTTGGACTGACTCTTAAAATGTTCCTAGTGGACGCATTTCTACACTCCTGCTTTGTGTCCCCCTGCACTCTCACTGAACAAGGTCATTGCCCTCCTGTAGACTGCTGCTCCCTTGATCTCCTGCAAGCTTCATCAGTATCCCTCTCAGACCCACAACCATCTCTCTCGTTACTCCTGATTGAGCCCTAGAACCCCTCTTTGAAACTGAGATTCCTCTTCGTCCTGGACGTTGCCTCACATACTGTTCTCAGTCCTCTCCTCTGCCTCCATCCTCACATTGAGGTTTCCATCTGCATCTACTGCTAACACTACATACGACCTTTATGCAGTATAGATATTACACTAGCACCCATACAGCACTTCTAATTGCTTGCTTGGAATTTTCACCTGGGTACCTCACTATCACCTAAAGTTCAGCATGCCAAAATAAAACTCAGTACCGTCACAAAACCAGTTCCTTCTTTCGACTTCCTTCTTTCTTATCTACTCCTTCTCAAAACTCAGTATCATCTCTCTTATCCCTTATAGCTGATCACTTGTCTCCTCTCCGCCCCTCTGCCATTCTCATTTAAGTGCATTTCACTTTTCACTTGGACTGCTATTATAATCCTCAGATTTTCTTTTTCATCTCCTATCTTGCCCCCATTCCAAAGCTTTCACAAAATGACATCAGATTCTTTCTAAAATGCAGATCTGAGCTACTGCTTTAAAATGTTCTGTACTGATGATGTACAAGATATTTGCATATCTCTTATTATCTTTCCATAAAATACTTATTAGTGACAAAAGGAAATATAGTAATTATATATAGTAGAGAAATGGATAACCACTTAGCCAATAGATCAAAGTTATCATCAATAAGGGATAAATGAAGATCACAGACTCCAGATGTGATACTCTGAGAAAGAAGCAACATTAGCTAGATAATGTTCCAGCCAAAAATGCAAAATATGAATCAAATCATGAGAAGGCATCAGCAAGTCCAAAGTCTGAAAAATAACTGGCCTGTATTCTTCAAAAATGTTAATATCATGAAAGACAAAGAAAGGCTGAAGAACTGTTACAGATTAAAAACTAAAGAGGCATCACAACTAAATGCAATACATGATCTTGGACTGGACCTGGTACCAGGAAAAATATCCCATGAAAGACTTTATTGGGACAATTGGAAAAAATCGGAATATAGACTATAGGTTATATAAAAGTTTTATATCAATGTTAAATTTCCTGAATTTTATAACTACAGTGTGGTTCATAAAAAATATCCTTGTTCTTAGGATACACATACAAGTATTAAGAGGTAATACTTTATACACACACATATATACACATACACAGAGACAGAGTATAAGAATGCTAAAGCAAATGTGGAAAGATGTTAAAAATCTGTGAACCTAAGTAAAGGGTATTCTGGAGTTCTTTGTATTATTCTTACAACTTTTCTGTACATTTGAAACCAGTAAGATTAAAAGGTTGGGGTCCAGCCCGGTCGCACAGTGGTTAAGTTCCCACATTCCACTTCAGTGGCCTGGGGTTCGCCAGTTCGCATCCTGGCTGCGGACCTAAGCACCACTTGTCAGGCCATGATGTGGCAGACGTCCCACATAAAAAACAGAGGAAGATGGGCATGGATGTTAGCTCAGGGCCAGTCTTCCTCAGCAAAAAAGAGGAGGATTGGTGGTAGATGTTAGCTCAGGGTTAATCTTCTTCTTCAAAAAGAAAAAAGAATAAAAGGTTAAGAAAATGTCTCATGTTTATTCATTGCCAACTGAACACTGCCTTAGCCCAGCATTCAAATGAGACCCTTTGAAATACAGTCTCAGTATTATTTTTATAACTCTCTTCACTGTGACTATCTTAAACACACTTTAATCACACTGTACATTCCAGAACGTTTTCTTGGACTCCATGAACTTGCTCATGTCCGTGTCTAAAATATACTCCCCTCCCCCACATTCTCACTTATACAAATCTAATGTCTCTTTTCCAAGGCCCAACTTACTACCTTTACTATTACTTTCCAAACCCCACCAAACTGGATGTAATCTCTCCCTAAGAAGTTAATGAGCCCAGATGATTAGTCAACCAGGGAACAATTGAAAAGGAAGGGGGAAAGATGATATGCTCAGTTTAAAACATGTGGCATTTAAAAGTAACTGGAATAGCCTAAAGAAATTCAGACGTACATGACCAGAAAATGGGTGAGCTACCTCAGAGTAAAAATGTAAAGAGAGAGTAGGACCAACAATTACTCCTAGGGAAGCATCTGTTATTAGGTGGTAGCAAAAGGGACAAATAAAAAATACACAGAAAATATGGTCAGAAACACAGAAAGAGAACCATGACGTAGCCTCCAGAACACTAAGAAAGAAGAAAACTTTGAAGGAGAAGTAGTAAGATAATATTAACGGTGACAGCATGTTCAAAGAGAAAGAGAACTAAGCAGAGGTATGAAGAACAACAAAGCATGGAGCATGGAGAGAGTAGTTTCAACAGCATGGTGAAGATAGGGTCCCAACGACGTTTATCAAATTTCAACAAATATTTAATGAGTACCTCCTATGGCCAAATACTAGGTTTAGGAAGGAACAGGCTAGAATTAACAATGGACATATACTAAAGGTTGGAGAAGGTAGGACGTAAAAGGAAGGAAAGAAGTCTATAACTGTTATCTAAATGGGTTCTCACCAGAAGATAAGAAGATTCATCCTGTGTGATCTGAGTCTAGGAGGAAGATAAAATATAAGGAAAATTCAAGTTGGCGTCTAGCACTGATTTTCCCATTAATAAATACATATTAAGGCATAAGAGTTATAATACATTTTTAAAACAAAAGTATTAGTTTTTGTAATCTGGTTTAAAATTGTATTACAAAATAATGAAATACAAGGCTACCTTATGTTTTTAAGACGTTATTTCTGGACAACTCTGCACATTATTTTAAGATGTTAAATAATCCTTACAAGATTGCTTGATGTTTAGTAGAAGGCCTCTTGCTGAGGAACAAGAGAACCTGAAAAGTTCAAGTTATGGCCAGAGCAAAATTAGGTGTAATCTGGTATGTTTATTAAAGTAATTGGAGCTGGATTAACAGTAAGAACAATGTCCAGGTGTTTTGCACATTGCTCTGCCTATTCAAACATCATTTTCACTCAAAAACTACTGACTACTTTTTCCTTCCTAATCCTCTCTCCTGCCTCATTTTCCTTCTTAACTGAATATGAAAAGTAGAGTATCACTAATGTGAACATTGCTTTATATGCCATTATTGCAAGTAATTTATGCTATTATTGATGCAATATGATATGAACGGTAATGAGTTCCCAGTATTACATTGCTTACAGAATGGTACTCTGCTCTAATTATTATCTTATGAAAATATTCTTCACAAAATTAAATTCTACAATGGTTGACGTCAGCATCATGGTGGAGTTGTTCCCTTTGTCTTCCACCTCTCAGTTATAACCAGTAGGACATACATGGACCAACAAAGGACTCCCTGCACAGCACACACGAATGCCTGAGAGATCCATACATCTATGCACCTGAGGTGGGTGGACTGGACCTCTTAGAGGTGGTGTAAGCATGGGAGCAGCAGCAGCAGTTCCCGAGACCAGAGGCTCCAGGAACTGAGGTAACACCCAGGAGTCCAGGCAGCCCACGTTCCTGGAGGTGCCAGGAATCATTGCAGGCTTATGACCAGAAGCTCTGGGAACCATGATAATACGTGTGACCCAGGCCCCTCCCCCTTGCCCAGAGGTGGCATCTCCAACACTGATCCTCCAGCAGCTGAGGCTGCGCCCAAGACACAGATACTCTCCACAATGGTGGCAATGCCCGTGACATGAGGTTCTAAGAAGCACGGTAGCACTAGAGAACAGAGGCTGCAAGAGCCACCGTGGCACTTGTGGCGCAGTCCCTGTCCCTCTCCCTCCCCCAGCAGCGGTGGGTGGTACTTACAACCTGAGGCTTCAGGAAATACAGTGGTGCCCCTCACCCAGATCCCTCCCCATTGACCAGTGGTGGCGCTTCCAACACTGGCCATTCCAGCAGCAAGGGCTGCATCCAAGACCCCAAGACCCCAAGCAGCAGAGGCAGTGCCCATGACCTGATGTTCCAGAAACTGCACAGGTGCAAGAGAGCAGAGGCTTCAGGAGCTCCAGTGGCATTTGTGACCCAGGTACCTCTACCCCCATGGTGGTAGTGGTGTCACCCACAACCCCAGTCCACCTAGGAGCAGTGTCCCTGGCAGCAACGTTGCCAGCAGCCCTAGATAACCTTGGAGAAGCAGCACAGGTGGCACATGCAACAGCAGCACCCAAGCCCAGGCAGAGCCCACAGAGAGCCAGGTAACAGCAAGAGTGCAGCCCATGATCCTGGTACCCCCAGCTGCACAAGTGCCCACAACTTCAGCCCCCCACGCATAGAATTAGCACCTGCAGATCCTAAAACTTGGATGTGGCAGAGGTGCCTGTAACCCTGGCTCCTGCCCCATTCCTCCTCCCCCGACCACCATAGTGGGGTAACCCATGATACAGGCAACCCCAGAAGCAGCAGAGGTGCTGGCAGTCCAGTGATGCCAGTGGTGACATCCATGACTGCAGTGACATCATAAGCAACAAGGCACCAGCAGCCTCAGAGGCACAGCAGCACAACGAGGCACTGACAATGCTTCTGGAAGATGCAGAGAAGGGGGAAAAGTGTAGGCTCTCAAATACAATGTGAAGCAGGTCAGAATCAAAGTAAACAGAGCCTTACTCAAGTAAGAAAAGTGTTTTCTACCACAAATGTGCTAGCAGAGGAACAACTCATGAAGTACCATGAAGCACTACAGTAACACAGTAGCACAAAAAGAAAATGACAACTCTCCAGAAACCAAACTTGAAACCATGGAAGATTGCAATCTAACTAACAGAGAATTCAAAAGAGCTGTCATGAAGAAACTCAGTGAGTTACAAGAAAATTCAGAAAGACAGTTCAATAAGTTCAAGAGTAAAATTAATGAACAGAAAGAGTATTTCACCAAAGGGACTGAAACTCTAAAAAAAGCCCCACAAATTCTGGAGCTGAAGAACACAATCTTCCTCACCAAAAAAAAGAAAGAAAGAAAGGAAAGAAAAAAAGAAATACTAGCTGAGAACTTCCTAAACCTGGGGTAAGAACTGGATACATAAGTACATGAGGCTACCAAACCACCTAATTATCTCAATGCAAAAGACCCTCTGCAAGGAACATTATATTAAAACTGTCATAAGTCAATGACAAAGAAAAAAATATTAAGGGTGGCCAGAGAGAAGAAAATAACTCCCAAAGGAACCCCCATTAGGCTATCAGCAGCTTTCTCAGCAGAAATTCTATAGGCTAGGAGAGAATGGAATGATATATTCAAAATACTAAAAGACAAAAGCTGTCAGGCAAGAACACTCTATCCAGCAAAGTTATCCTTCAGATAAGGAGAAATAAAGGCTTTGCTGGACAAATAAAAGCTGAGGGAGTTCTTCCACTAGAACTGCCTCATAAGAAATGTTGAAAGGAGCCCTCTTATCTGAAACAAAAAGGCAAAGGTATATAATGCTTTGAGTAAGGTAATAAATAGACAGAATCAGAAAATTGCAACTCTATATCAGAATAGGTTAGTCAACACTTAATTATAACATAAAGGCTAAAGGGAAAGAAAGCATTAAAAACAACTATAAGCACTTTGATTTGATAACAAACTCACAATACAAAAAGGGATACTTTGTGACAACAAAAACGTAGAAGGGGAAGAGGAAAAGGACAGAACCTGTATAGGCAAATGGAGACAAGATGTTATCATCAGAAAAAGGACTACCTCACCTATTAGATCTTTTATACAAACTTCATGGTGACCATGAAACAAAAATTCAGAGTAAAGTCACAAAACATAAAAAATGAGGAAACTGAGAAACACATCACAGAAAACGAAGACTGAAATGGCAGACAGAAACACAATGAAAAAGAAACAATTGAAATATAGAACAAGAAGAAAACACAAGATAAAATGGAAATATGAAGCCCTCGTACATCTATAATCACCCTAAATGTAAATGGATTGAATTCACCAATCAAAATCCACAGAGCGGCTGGATAGATTAAAAAACAAGACCCAATAATATGCTGCCTCCAGGAGACCTATCTCAGCTCTAATGACAAACACAGGCTCAGAGTGAAGGAATGGAAGATGATAGTCCAAGAAAATGGCAACCAAAAGAAAGTGGGTGTAGTTGTACTTATATCAGACAAAATAGATTTCAAGCCAAAAAAAATAACAAGAGACAAAGATGGACATCCTGTAATGATAAAGGGGACATTCCACTAAGAAGACATAACATTTATTAATACATATGCACCTAACATAAGAGAATCAAAGTATACAAAGCAACTATTAACAGACCTAAAAGGAGAAGTTGACAGCAACACAGTAATAGTAGGGCACTTTAACACCCCACTAACATCACTGGATAGACCATCCAGAAAGAGAATCAACAAGAAAACATTGGCCTTAAATGAAAACCTAGACCAGAAGGACTTAATAGATATATATAGGACATTCCATCCAAAAGCAGAGGAATACACATTCTTCTCAAGTGCACATGGAACACTCTCAAAGACAGACTATATGTTGGGAAACAAAACAAGTCTCAATAATTTAAGAAGACTGAAATCATATCAAGCATCTTTTCCGATCACAATGGTATGAAACTAGAAATTGACCATAGGAAGAAAGCTGGAAAAGTCACAAATATATAAAGACTAAACAATATGCTACTGAACAACTATTGGATCAATGGAGAAATCAAAGGAGAAGTCAAAAAATACCTGGAGACAAATGAAAATGAAAACACAACATACCAAAATCTATGTGATGCACCAAAAGCAGTACTAAGAGAGAAGTATACAGCAGTACAGGCTCAAGAAACAAGAAAAGTCGCAAATAAACACTCTAAGGCTACACCTGAAAGAATTAGAAAAAGAAGAACAAATGAAGCCAAAGTCAGCAGAAGGAAGGAAATAATAAAATAAGACTGGAAATAAATGAAATAAAAGCTAAAAAGACAATAGAAAAGATCAATGAAACTAAGACCTGGTTCTTTGAAAATATAAACAAAACTGGCAAACTCTCAGCTAGATTCACTAAGAAAAAAAGAAAAAGGGCTCAAATAAATAAAATCAGAAATGAAAGAGGAAAAATTTCAACAGATACTACCGAAATACAAAAGATTAAGAGACTACCAAGAAAAGCTATATGCCAACAAACTGGAAAATGTAGGGGAAATGGATAAATCCTTAGAATCATACAACCTGCCAAAACTGAACCAAGAAGAAATAGAGAATTTGAATAGACCAATCACAAGTAAAGATATTGAAACAGTAATCAAAAACCTCCCAAAAAACAAAAGTCCAGGACCAGATGGCTTCTCTGGTGAATTCTACCAAACATTCAAAGAAGATTTAATACCTATCCCTCTCAAACTCTTCCAAATAATTGAAGAGGTAGGATGCTTCCTAACTCGTATTACAAGGTCAACCTTGCCCAGATACCAAAATCAAACAAGGATGACACAAAAAAGGAAAATTACATGACAATGTCCCTAATGAACAGAGACAGAAAAATCCTCAATAAAATACTAGCAAATTGAATACAACAATACATTAAAAGGATCAAACACCATGATCCTTTAGGATTTATTCCAGGGATGCAGGGGTGGTTCAACATCTGCAAATCAGTCAATGTAATACACCACATTAACAAAATAAAGAATAAGTCACATGACCATCTCAATAGATGCAGAGAAAGCATTTGACAAGATTCAACACCCATTTATGATAAAAATTCTCAATAAAATGGAAACAGAAGGAAAGCACCTCAACATAATAAAGCCCATATACAACAAACCCACAGCCAACAGCATACTCAACAGTAAGAAAGTGAAAGCTATGCCTTTAAGAACAGGAACAGGACAAGGATGCCCACTCTTGCCAGTCTTATTCAACATAGTATTGGAAGTCCTAGTCAGAGCAATTAGGCAAGAAACAGAAATAAAAGGTATACAAATTGGAAAGGAAGAAGTAAAACTGTCACTATTTGTGGATGACATGATTCCATATATAGAAAATCCGAAAGAATCCACCAAAAAATTATTAGAAATAATTAACCAATACAGTAAAGTTGCAGGGTACAAAATCAATACACAAAAATCAGTCTCATTTCTATACATGAACAATGAGCTAGCAGAAAGAGAAATCAACAATACAATCCCATTTATAACCACAACAAAAAGAATAAAATACCTAGGAATAAATTTAGCCAAGGAAGTGAAAGACCTGTACACGAAAAACTATAAGACACTGTTGAAAGAAACTGAAGAAGACATAAAGAAATGGAAAGATATTCCATGCTCATGGACTGGAAGAATAAACATAGTTAAAATGTCCACATTACCTAAAGCAATCTATAGATTCAATGCAATCCCAATCAGAATCCCAATGAAATTTTTCACAGAACTAGAACAAGGAATCCTAAAATTTATACGGAACAACAAAAGACCTCGAATTGCCAAGGCAATCCCAAGAAAAAAGAACATAGCTGCAGGTATCACTCTCTCTGATTTCAAATTATACTACAAAGCTAGAGTAATCAAAACAGCATGGTACTGGCAGAAAAACAGACACACAGATCAATGGAACTGAATTGAGAGGCCAGAAATAAACCCACACATCTATGGATAGCTAGTTTTCAACAAAGAAGCCAAGAACATACAATGAGAAAGAAAAGTCTCTTCCATAAACAGTGTTGGGAAAAGTGGACAGCCACATGCAAAAGAATGAAAGTAGACCATTATCTTACACCACATACAAAAATTAACTCAAAATGGATTAAAGACTTCAATGTAAGACCTGAAACCATAATACTCTTAGAAGAAAACATAGGCGGTACGCTCTTTGACACTGGTGTTAGCAGTATCTTTTTGAATATCATATCTCCTTACACAAGGGAAACAAAATAAAAAATAAACAAATGGGACTATATCAAACTAGAAAGCTTCTGCAAAGCAAAGGAAACCATCACCAAAACAAAAAGGCAACCTACCAATTGAGAGAAAATATTTGCAAACTATATATCCAATAAGGGGTTAGTACCAAAAACATACAAGGAACTCATACAACTCAAAAATAGAAAAACAAACAACTCAATTAAAAACTGGGGAGAGGAACTGAACAGACATTTTTCCAAAGATATACAGATGACCACCAGGCACATAAAAAGATGTTCAGAATCACTAATTATTAGGGAGATGCAAATCAAAACCACAATGAGATATCACCTCACACCCATCAGAATGTCCTTAATTAACAAGATAAGAAATAACAAGTGTTGGAGAGGATGTAGGAAAAAGGGAACCCTCATACACTACTGGTGGGAGTGCAAACTGGTGCAGCCCTGATGGAAACAGTATGGAGATTTCACAAAAATATAAAAATAGAAATACCATGTCATCCAGGTATTCCACTTCTGGTTATTTATCCAGAGAACACAAAAACACTAATTGGAAAAGATACATGCATCCCTATGTCATTGCAGCATCATTCACAATAGCCAAGAATTGGCAGCAACCTAAGTGCCCAATGGATGAATGGATAAAGATGTGGTATATACATATATACAATGGAATACTACTCAACTATAAAAAAGATGAAATCTTGCCATCTGCAACAACATAGATGGAACTTGAGGGTATTATGCTAAGTGAAATGTCAGATGAAGAAAGATAATTACCATATGAATTCACTCATATGTGGAAGATAAACAAAAAAACAAATACATAGATACAGAGAATAGATTGGTGGTGACCAGAGGGAGATGGGATGCAGGGAGGGCAAAATCAATAAAGGGGCACATGTGTGTGTTCATGGGTGGCAACTAGACTTTTGGTGGTGAACATGATGCAGTCTATACAGAAGTCAAAATATAATGACGTGCACCTGAAATTTATATAACGTTATAAACCAATGTGACCTCCAATAAAAAAGTAGATAATAAAAATAAATTTAAAAAATTAAATTCTGCAGATTTATTGACTGTCAAAATAGAAGCTGTCATCAAGTGACTGTCCAAAGAACCTACAGAAGCATTCAGCATGGCAGCATGTGTATTAGGATATGCATGGGAAGGGGATAAATAACTACTACGATTTATCAGTTCATGGGACATTATTAGTTACATAAATTGTATCCAACTTAATTGTTTGAGAATCCAGAACTTCCAATTACTTTAATAAACATACTAGATTACATCTAATTTTGCTCTGGCCACAATATCAACTCAACACTGATGAAATTTTAGAACATGATTTAATTTATGAGTGTTTTCCAGGAATGAAATAATGACATCAAGGTCATACTTCAAGGGCAGATTTTGTTAAATGCATTAAATCAGACTGCAGCATCCATGGAAAGGAAGTGACTACATGAAGTGACACCAAATGTATAATTTCATATTGTAGTTAAAATGTTTTTCTTCATTAATCTGCACGAGTTTTGTAATCTGCATTAAAGAGTTGGCATTAAAATTCAGATTTATGGGCCAGCCCAGGGGCATAGTGGTTGGGCTCATGCACTCCACTTCAGCAGCCTGGGGTTCAGGGATTTGGATCCCAGGCAGGGACCTACATACCACTCATCAAGCCATGTGTGGTGGTGTCCCACATACAAAATAGAGGAAGAGCGGCACAGATGTTAACTCAGAGCCGATCTTCCTCACAAAAAAAAATTCAGATTTAACAGACAAGTATGTGCCCTTTGCTCAGTAAATTCTAGTCAAGGCTCACCTTCTGCAGTCCTCCACTCATACCTACACCTGTGGTCTACTCTACACTCATTGCTTCAAGACGTTTGTACCTTTAATTGTGATGAACAGTGATAATACGGTACCCTCCCTACTATAGTCTCTACATCGAATGTGACAATTCAGAAAACTATGGGTCTCATGGGACCAAGGTAACTAAACTCTTATAGAAGCCAGTCTTTTTTAATACAATAAAATACAATGAATACTACAATAAAATAAAAATTGTGTTAACTTACTTTCACTAGATAATTGCTGGCGTTTCAGCCTGAGTCTATATTTTTCATTTTCTTCAAGCATTCTAGAAATGACTTTGTATACTCTATTCCATGCTAAAACCTTAAAAAGATAAGCACAGTTAAGGAATACTGAGTAGAGAAGCTGGAATACATTTTGATGGAAGGAACTGGGAGTGACTCAACTGTGTTGCATGTCAATGTTTATTATTATAAAGCAATATTAGCACTTAGAGACCTAAAATGTAACTGTAATTGTTTTCTCATCATCACTGAATTCTCTGGTCTCTTTTCCCAACTTCCTAGCATTTCCTCTTTGTGGTATTTAAATTAACCACCCTGGATGAAGTTTCCTTTCAAAGGCACTCTCTATAAAGTCCTGCCTAAATGGTTCCAACACATTCAGTTTTGTTTGGAAAGGTAACAAAAACAGTGAATTCCTATTCCTATGTCTAAACCACTGGGCAATGATTTGATTTTTTGACGTACCTTATTCTAGTCAAGAATTAAACATTTCTCCTAGGACATACCAAAGCAAAATTACTAGAGAGCACGAATATACTAAAATAGATAGAATGAGGACTATGGAAGCAAACAGATCGATCTAGGCTCAAATTCTGGCTTTGCCACTTACCAGTTGCTTGACATTGGGCAAACATTTTAATCTCATCTAGGAATAACTTCATACACTGGATTATTAGAATTTTGAAAAATATATGTAAAGCACTTACCCCCAGCGTCTGGCACACAGAAGTTATAAGTAAATATTAGCTACTGCTCTTTTCTCCTCATCCAAGAGGAAGTGGTTCTTGGAAGAAATATTTCTTAGTTCAGTGAGGAGATTAGACGATCACTCAAAATACACACACTGCAAGGATTAGTCACCTTACATGCTATTCTATACTATCCATGGATTATAAATCAAACAAACTTGAAGCTCAGAAACAATATGCTTTTCTGTGCCATTACCAACCAACAATTTCTTTAAATTGAAGTATAAAATGTATGGTGGAAAACCAAGATTGGTAGAGCAACTGAGGCCGAATATGTTTAAAACACTCAAGTTCCCATGACATCTGGACCACCAGAGGTGGAAATGATTCAGCAGTAAAGGCTCACCCTTGTCCGCTTTTCTGCTAGAAACTTAATGTATAGCCCTGGTCTTTAAAAGAGCAACATGACACCAATACAGATCCATTCTTCTTCTCTTGAAATCCATGATTTTCTTCTTATATTACACTATTTATGGGAATTTATTCTATTCTATGGAACATATATTTCCATGCTTTGAAAGATCTTCCAGTGGGTTACAGGTGGATTAAAATGTGTTTTATACCTCGAACACTAAAACGACTATTCTTCATGGTTAATAAATATTTCCAAACCCGGTTTCATTTCTGCTAAATTAATTGTATTTTCTCATTTCAGTAAATTTAATGTTTCAAAAGACGGAGCTATTTTTACTGTCTTGAGTTTCTTCACATATTTGTATTTAGAGAGGTTAATCTAAAATTCAGATATTGCTCATTCCCCTTTACAATGATATACCTTTTTCTTTTTCTTCAGTATTTTGGAAGCTTCATTCAAAGGTATCGGAAAATCAAACTTTTTAGCTAAATTCTTCTGAGTTAAACCTAATTTAAAAAAAAAAGAATGAGAAGGTAAAATATCAAGGTCAACACATATTCACCGTCCTGAGAATGGAGGCAATTATAAATGTCTCCTGAGCTGTCTTTGAGGACTTCTACATTTGTTGGTATATTTCTGATCATTTGACAATAACAGTTTCCAAAATAGCTAATACTATGCTGGGGGGAAACAAGCAACGAAACTAGAGATAAACTACCTTGGAAGTGCCTAGGAAATCTCCTTCCTTTTCTGATTTGAAAGGTGAGTCCCAAAAAGGCCAGCGATAGAGTAAACAAATGCCAGAAACCACATCTTGCCCCACTGAACCTCTACAGTCTCCTTTCTTCTCAACTTCAGATACACATCATACTTCTAACTACACAAAACACCTTGTTCTTACCCTCTCAGCCTTTGCACATGCTGTTCTATCTGGCTTTGACACACTGTGTGCATGCACATGCACGCACACACACACCTGGCAGACAAATTTCCACCTGCTCTTCCAGAAAGCTCCCATCACCTATTCTCTACAGGCTTCCTTCAAACACACACAGCCCCACACACAGCACTGGCTCCAGGAACACCTTGTTCACACCACTTAGTACACTTTTATTCCATGTGTTTATAATGCGTTTCCTCCACTAAGCTGTGACCTTCTGGAGGGCAATGGCCACGTGTGCCTTATGCATCTTTCCATCCACTAAACACTTTTATCAATAAAAGGAAGAATAAAAATAAATAAATAAAATTTCCTGCTCAAAAAAAAGTATAAAAAGAACAAAGAAAGCATATGTAAGAAATTATAAAGTTTTATCTTTACTATTTATTTTTATTTATTAATGAGTAAGAGACTAGACAAACAAAATATCTCATTAATAAATCAAAATCCTGTTTTTTAAAAAAATTAACAAAATAGACAAAACACTGGCTAACTTGATCAAGAAAAAGGGAGACAGCACATACATACAAAAAAAGAAATGACAAGAGGGACATAACCATTGAAACACAAGAAATTTTCCAAAACCATAAGACACTACTTTGCAGACCTTTATACAAATAAATTTGGAAACCTGGATGGAATAAATAATTTGCTAGGGAAATACAGATGAGCAAAATTGACCCATTAGAGTTAGAAAGCTTAAAGAGACCAATTTCCATTGGAGATATATAGAAAGTTTTTAAGGAATTATCCCACAAATAGCACTAGGCCCAGATGGTTTCACAGAAGAATTCCAACAAATCTTCAAACACCAGATAGTCCCAATGTTCTATTAATTATTCCAGAGCACTGAAAAGGAGGGAAAAGTTCCTAATTCCTCTTATGAAGTAAGTATAACTCTAATAATACCTAAACTAGATGAAGTACAAAGAGAGAAAAACTACAGATCACTCTCTCGTGAATACCACTGCAAAACTTCTAAACAAATTATTAGCAGAGTCCAACACTACTTTAAGAAAATAATACATCACAACCAAGTAGGATTTATTTCAGGAATGCAAGGTTGGTTCAATATTAGGAAATCCATTTGTATTACGTACCATATTAATAAAACTAAGGAAAAATGTTTATCTCCATATATCTGAGAAAGCTTTTGGCAAAATTCAACACCCATTAATGATAAAAACACTGAATAAAATAAAAATTGAGGGATACTTTTTAATATCTTAAATATATATGCCTTAGAGCTAAAGCCAATACCTTATTTAATGGGGAACACAAGAGGCATTTCCCCTAAGGTCAGAAACAAGGCAAGGATGCCTACAATCTCCACTACTATTCCACATTGCACTTGAGGTATTAGCCAATGCAATAAAAAAAAAATCTATTGTAGGCATAAGAATGGGTAAAAAAGAAATAAAATTATCCTTATTTACAAATAATAGTATATCTGAAAAATTATGTGTCAACAATAAAACTGACTCATAAAAGAATTCAGTGACGTACTAGGATCTAAGATTAACATACAAAAATCAATAGGCTAAGTGAAAGAGGCCAACCAGGAAAGCTCACATATTGTATGCTTCCATTTATATGAAATGTCTAGAATAGGCAAATCTATAGAGTCAGAAAGTAATTTAGTGCTTTCATGGGGCTAGGGTTGGGGGGAGCGGACAGAGCAAGGGGGAACAGTGAATGCTAATGGTACAGGGTTTCTTTGGGGGGTAATAAAAATGTTCCAAAACTGATTGTGGTGATGATTGCACACCTCTGTAAAAAACACTAAATTGTGTAATAGGTGAGTTGAAAGGATTCTGAATTATATCTCAATAACGCTATTTAAAAAAAAAAGCACAGGTGGGCCCTCTTTCAAAGGCAGGCAGGAGTTTTTGGGATAATGGAAATGCTTTGCATCTTGTTTGTGGTAGTATGTCACTAGGGTATATAACCTTGTCAAAACCCCTCAAAATGTACGTAAACCAATCCTAAACAAAGTCGACTTTTTCTAAAGATGGAGAAGCGTCACATCCACAAACAGTAAACATTTGGAGGACATGACGGAGGAGGAAGACCCATTTACTACAGCGGAGACGACCAAAGGCCTAGGAAGACACTGAACAGGATTATGTAAAACCTATAGAGGGACAAGTTGTAAATACACACATTCCAGAAAGACACAAACGTAGACTGAACACACGGAGAGCCATCCTCCGTTCTTAGAGAGGCCGGCTCCCCTTAAGCTCATCGCCAAGTCAGCGGCCCCGAAGGAACACAGCGCGCCAGGCCGCATCACGCCGGGCCTCGGGGCTGCGTCCGCCCCGTCCGTCTCCGCCTCGTCTCACACGACAGCGCCTGCCCCTCGCGCCCCTCCTCGGGCCGTCCGCCCGCCCCAGCGCGGCAGGGGCGACCTCGGGCCCGGCCTGGCCGCCCTCAGGGTTGCGGCCCGACCCAAGGCTGAGGGGAGGCCAAGGGGAGAAGCCCACCGCGCCCACCCGCCCCCTGTCCCCGCCGCCCCTTCGCGCCACCTGCACGTGCCGCCGGCGCGGGGCTGCTCTGCGCGCTCGACGCCGGCTCGTCCGAGGGGGCCGCGGGGGGCCTGGGCCCGGGGCCGGGGGGCCGCCCTCCACCGTCCGGCGCGCCCGCCCGGCTGCATGTGGCCCCGAGCCCCGGGCTCCGGCGGCCGCCCAGCTGCAGCACACCGCCACACCGGTGCGCGCCGAAGCGGGCCACGTAGACGCAGGCCGCCGGAGGCCGCGTCCGCCCCCCGCCAGCCGCCGCCATCGCCGTCGCCGTCGCCGTGCGGTCTGTACCGCAGCCGCGCCAAGGCCCTCAGTCGCCGGGGCACCGTCCGCAGCGGGGGCGGGGCGGGGCGCGGGGCCGGACCACTGTTGGGGGGGGGGGACTTAGGGGACAGACTCCTGTGAGGAGAGGGGGGAGGGCCACTGTATGGGGAGGCGGGCTGGGGGCCGGACCAGTGTGGGGGAGAGGGGGTAGATGAGGGGCCGGACCACTGTGTGTGTGGGGGGGGGCGTGCTTAGGGGACAGAATCCTGTGAGGAGAAGGGGAGAGGGGAGGCGGGCTGGGGGCCGGACCAGTGTGGGGGAGGGAGGGTAGATGAGGGGCCGGACCACTGTGTGTGGGGGCCGCTGAGGGGCCAGACCCCTGTGAGGAGGGGGCTGGACCACCGTATGTGGGGTGGGCTGGGGGCCGGACCACTGTATGTGTGGGGGGCGTAGCTGAGGGGTCGGACCACTGTGAGGAGGTGGGGGTGGGGTGGACCACTATATTTAGGGGCTGGCTAGAGGCCCAACCACTGTTGGGAGGGGATAGCTGAGGGGTCAGACCACTGTGAGCAGGAGGGTGGACCACTATACTTGGGGGCAGGTGGGGGGCTGGACTACTGTGTGTGGAGGGGAGCTGAGGGGTGCGACCACTGTATGGGGGGCGGGCTGGGGACTGGACCAGTGTGGGGAGTGAGTGGTAGATGAGGAGATGGACCACCACAGGCGGGGAGCTGAAGAGACGGACCCGTGTGTGGGTCCATTGTGTGGACAGTGGGGGAGTGGACCGCCGTGTGTATGGTGGCCAGGGAGAGGAAGGGCTGAGACAGGACCACTTGGGGGGGGGCAGATGAGGGGACAGACCACTGGAGAGGGGAGCTGAAGGGACAGACCACTGGAGATGCGGGAAGGGGGTCCTGCTGGGGGCTGGAAGGTGAACCAATCTGAGGGAGGTGGGAGAGTGAGCTGGGTGACAGACCACTGTCGGGCCTGGGAGGTGGGGGCTGGATCACTGTGTGCCTTGTACTGGGTGAGGGGCGAGCTGGGGAGCAGGACAAGTGCGCAGGTGTGGGGCAGGCAGGGTGGGGAAGGAATGAGGGATGGGGGAGGAGATGGGGAAGTGAGAGACCCCGGTCTGGCATATGTTGGTCCTGGGTGTGGTCCTCAACACCCTGCACAGAGAGGACCTGGGGCTGAAGCCCATCATGGTTCAGCTACTAACCAGCTGGGTTGTTTGAGCAAGCCACTTTCCCTCTCTGAGCCTTGTTTCTTCAGATGTAAACTCAGGATAACTGGGTGGTTAACATAAATCAAAATAAGGGGTATTAAGCATCGGCACATAGTAAGAGGTAGTTTCCTTAGACTTAATTTTCACTTCACATTTATTAAGCACTTACTCTGTGAAGTATGTACCATAATATCTTTATGTATACTTTACAAATAGCTTTCCCATAGACCATCTTGTTAAATCCATGCAGCATTTTACAGCAGAGGAACTGAGCCTCCAAAATGTGGAGGGACTTCCCCAAAGTCATAGGCAGTGACAGAGACATACTTTCTTAAAATAAACTTTTAAAAATTGAGTTAGAAATATGTGTAGAAAAGGGCACCAATTCTCAGTATGCGAATAGATGAATTTTCACACAGTGAACAGACCCATGTAATATCCTCCCAGGTTAAGAAGCACCACAGAAGCACCTCGTGTCCCTGGCCAGTCCCCATCCCTCTCCTCTCTTTCCTGGTTTCAAACAGCCTCAGTTTAGCTTTGTCCCTTGGGTTTGACTTCTTTGACTCAAGTTATGTTTGTGAGAAACACGCTATTGTGTGGATTTGTACCTCATTTGTATATACTACCCTCTATTCATCCATTCCATTCTTGATAGACATTTTATTATTTCCAATTTGAGACCCTTATTAATAGTGCTGCTAGGAACATTCCTATGTGTATCTTTTGTTGAACATATGCTATAAAGTATATCCACCTTAGCGTGGAATTGTTTAGGATATTCATATGTTCAGCTTTAGTAACTACTAACAAGCAAGTACTCAAAATGGTTCTACCAGCCAAGTATGGAAATTCCAGTTGCTCCACTGTTCACCTCCACTTGGCATTGTCAGTCTTTTCCATTTTAGCCATTCTGATGGATGTGTTAGGGTTCTCCAGAGAAACAGAACCAGTAAGATGTGTATACATACACACATAGGATATAAACGTATATATATATCTCCATCTATGTGTGGAGACAGAGAGATTTTAAGGAATTGGCTCATACAATTGTGGAGAAAGGCAACTCCAAAATCTTCAGGATAGGCCAGCAGACTGGAGACCCAGGGAAGAGGTGATGCTACAGTTCAAGTCTGAAGGCCATTTGCTGGCAGAACTCCCCTTCGAGGGAAGTCCTTCTTTTTCTATTAAGGCTTTCAACTGATTGGAGGAGGCCCACATTATGGAGGATAATCTGCTTTACTCAGAATTATACTGGTTTAACAGAATGGGAACAGTCTAAGGGAACTCTGGGACAATATCAAGCACACTAACATTTATATTGTAGGTGTTCCAGAAGGAGAAGAGAGAGACAAAGGGGCAGAGAATCTATTTGAAGATATAATAGCTGAAAACTTTCCTAACCTAAGGAAGGAAACAGATGTCCAAGTACAGGAAGTACAGAGAGCACCAAACAAAATGGACACCAACAGCCCCACACCAAGACACATTATAATTAAAATGTCCAAAATTAAAGATAAAGAGAGAATCCTCAAAGCAGCAAGAGAAAGGCAACAAGTGACATACAAAGAAAAGCCCATAATGCTATTGGTGGACTTCTCAGCCAAAACTCTACAGGCTGGAAGAGAGTGGCATGACATATTTAAAATTCTGAAAGGAAAAAACCTCCAGCCAAGAATACTTTATCCAGCAAGGTTATCATTCAGAATGGAAGGAGAGATAAAGAGCTGCCCAGACAAGCAAAAATTAAAGGAATTTATCACCAAGAAACCAGTTCTACAAGAAATGCTGAAGTGACTTATTTAAGTGGGAAAGAGAAGACCACAAATAGGGATAAGAAAATTGTCAAAAAAAAAAAAAAAAAAGCCAGGCAATAAAATCACCGATAAAGGCAAAAATCAGTAAAGAGAGCAGATCAACTACCTATGAAGATAATATGTAGATTAAAAGACAAAAGTACTAAAATTACCTATTTCAATGATAAAAGGGTAATGGAAAGACACACACAAAATAAGAGATTAGATATGATTTCAAAAACATAAAATGTGGGAAGAGGGGAGTAAAAGAGTAGAGCTTTTAGAAAGAGGTCAAGCTAAAGAGACTATAGACTCAATATAGATTGCTATATACATAGAATATTATAGAGGAACCTCATGGTAATCACAAACCAGAAACCTATAATAAGTAAACAAATAAGTAAGAGGAAAGAAATCAAATATATTACTAAAGAAAGCCATCAAACCACAAGGGAATAGAGCAAGAGAAGAAAGGTACAGAGAAGAACTACTAAAACACCCAGAAAAAAGTAACAAAATGGCAATAAATACATTTTTATCAATAGCTATTTTAAATGTTGATAGACTAAATGCTCCAATCAAAAGACATAGGGTGGCTGATTGGATAAAAAAAAAAAACAAGACCCATATACATGTTGCATACAAGAGACACACTTCAGACCTAAAGACACTCACAACCTGGAAGTGAAAGGATGGAAAAAGATACTCCATGCAAATGGCAAAGAAAAGAAAGCTGGGGTGGCAATACTTATATCAAACAAAATAGACTTTAAAACAAAAACTGTAACAAGAGACAAAGAGGAGCACTACATAATGATAAAGGGAACAATCCAACAAGAGGATATAACACTTATAAATATCTATGCACCCAACATAGGAGCACCTAAATATATAAAGTAATTATTAACAGACATCAAAGGAGAAATAGACAGTAACACAGTAATAGTAGGGGACTTTAACACTCCACTTACACCAATGCATAGATCATCCAAACAGAAGATGAATAAGGAAACATTGGCCTTAAGTGACGGGTTACATCAGATGGACTTAGTAGATATATAGAGAACATTCCATCCAAAAACCTCGGGATACACATTCTTTTCAAATGCACGTGGAACATTCTCCAGGATTGATCACATATTAGGCCTCAAGACAAGTCTCAATAAATCTAAGAAGATCAAAATAATACCAAGCATCTTTTCTGACCACAAAGGTATGAAACTAGAAATCAACTACAGGAAGAAAATCAGAAAAGCCACAAAAATGTGGAGAGTAAACAAAATACTACTGAACAATGATTGAGTCAATGAAGAAATCAAAGGAGAAATCAAAAAATACTGGAGACAAATGAAAATGAAAATATGGCATGCCAAAATCTATGTGATACAGCAAAAGTGGTTGTAAGAGGGAAGTTTAATAGCAATTCAGGCCTACCTCAATAAACTAGGAAAATCCCAAAGAAACAACCTAACAGTGCACCTAAAGGAACTGGAAAAATAAAAACAAACAAAGCCCAAAATCAGCAAAAGGAAGGAAATAATAAAAATCAGATCAGAAATAAATGAAATAGAGACTAAAAAACAATAGAAAAAATTAATGAAACCAAGAGCTGGTTCTTTGAAAAGATGAACAAAATTCACAAAACTTTAGCCAGACTCAGCAAGAAAAAAAGAGAGAAGGCTCAAATAAATCAAATAAGAAATGAAAGAGGAGAAATTACAATGGACACCTCAGAAATACAAAAGATTATAAGAGAATACTATGAAAAGCTATACCCCCCAAAATTGGATAATCTAGAAGAAATGGATAAATTCCTAGAATCATACAACCTTTCAAAACTGGATCAAGAAGAAGTAGAGAATTTGAATAGACCAGTCACCAGGAAGGAGATAGAAACAGTAATCAAAAACCTCCCAAAAAATAAAGTCCAGGACCAGATGGCTTCCCTGGTGAATTTGACCAAAGAAAATTACAGGCCAGTATCACTGATGAACATCGATCCAAAAATCCTCCACAAAATACTAGCAAATCAAATACAACAATACATTTAAAAGATCAT